AATGAAGGCATAAGAGCTAAATTTAGTGTATAATTTTCAGATTATTAACATTTCTGCCTGTCAGTAACTTCAAGATTTCTGCTAGTTTCTTCTTGCAAAAGAAATGCCAAAATTTCCTATGGGGAAAAAATCTGATGTTGGAGATCCTCATGCAGAGCGTGAGGACGTCCAGCGTCAAATAACGGACCAAAGTGACAGCCACTAGAAGTGGAGTTAACCCTGGATAGTAATTATTGCAGTTTCTCAATAACTGCAATAATTACTATTGCAGGGTTAAGAGACATGGGACATTGCACCCAGTCCACTTCAATGAGCTGAAGTTGTCTGCGTGTCTACAGTGTCCCTTTAAGAAAGTACATTAATAACCAAATCAAACAAGTATGGGAAGTACACCTATTAACCAGGGGATACCTATTAACCAGAGAGACGCTGACAGAATGGCCCATAACACTCACACATCCACATGTTTGGAATGAATGTATTGGTATTCCACCAGACTTGGGAGCTAAATTTAATTTTTATTTATCTTTAAACCATTTTACACTGAATATTTGCGCAGAAAGCTTTCTGATGTATTTGATGTAATGATGTATTTCTTTAATTCAGGACAAACTTGGCAGTTGCTAATTATATCATTGCTTATCAATATCCAAACTGGTATGGCCCATCTTAAATCTGTTTGAGAACATTTGGGACCATGGTTAAATATTAACATGAATTAGATATACAGTGTATTCAGAAAGTATTTAGGCCCCTTCATAGATTTTTTTTATGTTTCAGTCTTATGCTACATTTGTTTAAATTAACTTGCTTTTCACATAAATCTACACTTAATACACCATTTTGAAAAAGCAAAACCAAACATTTTAAAACCTTTGCACATTTATTAAGAAGAAAAACCTGAAATATATTGACATTCATCATTCAGACCCTTGGCTATGACACTTACATTTAGCTTAGATGTACCCCGTTTATCTGGCTTATCTTTGTGATGTTTCTACACTTTGATCTGAGTTTACCTGTGCCAAATTCCATTGATTGGACATGATTTTGTAAGGCACACACTTGTCTATATAAGGTCTCACAGCTGTAAATGCATTAGAGCAAAATCCAAGCCATGAAGTTTAAGGAACTACCCGTGGAGTTCAGAAACCATATTGTGTCAAGGTACAGATCTGGGGAAAGCTGCAAAGGCTGCATTTAGGTTCCCAATAGCACCGTGGCTGCAATAAATTCTTAAATGTAAGAAGTTTGAATAAACTAGGACTCTACCTAAACCGGGCAACCGAAGAAGAAGGGCCTTGGTAAAAGCGGCGAGAGGAAACCAATAGGCTTTTTGTGCAGGATGTGAAAAACTTGAACAACCATCACTGCAGCAACCGATCTAGCCTTTATGGCAGACTGGCCAAACAGAAGCCTGTGCTCACTGCAAAAATAGATAAATGCATGCTTGGTATTTGCAAAAAAAAAGCACCACATCAGACCCAAAATGACTTGAAGCTGTAATCACAGCCAAAGGTGCTTTAACTAAGTATTGAGTTATGGATCAGAATACTTATTTTAATGTGATATTTCAGTTTTTCTCTGTTTAATATATTTGCCATGGTATCAAAAATCTGTTCTTTAGCTTTGTCATCATGGGGTATTGAATGTAGATTGATGTAAAAAAAAAATTAAAATTAAAATTTGTAGCATACAGCTACATAAAAAATATGAAGAAATGGAGGGGTCTGAATACTTTCTGAATCCTGTGTGTATATATATATATATATATATATATATATATATATATATATATATATATTAAAGAAAGAAAAAAACAGCATTACATAAGAATAGGAAAATAAAGGAACCGAAGCTTGCTCTGGAGTACGGGCTTAGTACCTTTGAAATTGTCATTCATGACAGCTGGAGCATGAGGCAGTGTATCGATTGCACTTACAGAATATTGATCAAGACAATAGGAAGTAAAAGCTATTCTTATTACATTATACAAGAGGCTGTGCAAAATAAGGGATAATATGATTTAGATAATGTTTGGTTCTGCTTTTAAATCCATATTGGCAAAAATAACCTTCACTGTTTTCTTTTATTTTAGGCAAATATGTATATCAGCCCATGACTCCTGTAGAACAGCTTCCAAGTACAGAAATTCCAGCAGAGCCCCAGGACCAGTCAAACACCATTCAGCTCTCTGTCTCGCTGGCCGAGCAATTTCTCAAGGTATCTTCTTCCTTCCAGCCTCCATATATGCCAGAATCTCCCCGATACTGCACCATCTCCGACCTCTTCCTGGATAATTATCAAGTAAAATGTATCAACGGAAAGATGTGCTACGTACAACGCCAACAGCCACCTCCTCCATCTCATCGAGCTAGGCCTGAAAGAGAGCTCCCACAAGAAGTCTACCCACCCAAAGATTCAGAGGGCCCAAAAATAGACCACTGCTCATCCCCTTCTAACTCGGAAGACTCTGGTATAAATGCGGTGGGAGTTCCATACTTAGAATCATGTGACGAGGACACAGAGGAAGGGGCAGAGCTGAGCTCAGAAGAAGATTGCAGTCCAGATAGTTGTTGGGGGCAGGACAACTGTCCACTAGTATCACCATCCAAGACTGACCTGGAGATCATAGAGACAATAGAGACAACAGTTTGAGTCAATGGCTGTGGATGGACTAAGGTTAAAGATCATATGTTAATACATGTGGGTGGATTGTGGCTTCTATTTTGCCAAGGGACAGAGCAATACAATCAACACAATATTGCACACTGATCTATAGCTCTCCAAAAGGCACAATGTGATTAATGTATAGATAAACAGTTTTTAATCTGTTATATGGATAAGTGGCATCAGTTCAATGGATGATGGTAAATTAGAATCTGTGCTTAGTGAAGGTTTTTTTTTTCTTTTTTATTTATTAGGGACGATTTTTGGTTGTATTCAGTGTGTAACCTAGAGCTATCACAAATAAGGGGCCTTGTATGTCCAATATGCTGTAATGAATATGAAACAGGCAGTATTATATCACTCACGTGTTGTCAGCCTCTTTAGAGGGATGTATCAATGTTTATACCACGTCTCACATACTCCTATGGAGTACCACACCTTTTTAATAGATCTTTGCCATAAAAATAATCTTACTTTGGTCCAGACCTCTTGTTTCTCACTTAATGTCCTACATTAGCAAATTGTGCTCCGTCTTAATTGTCATTCCCCCATGGAGCCATCAATAGGACACGGGTTAAGATTACAGCATAATTATGCGTGGCTTTGAAAATTAGGATAACGTTGCTCTGATCATCAAAACAATTACAATTGTTTATATAGTTCCAACATATTCCACAGCACTGCACTGGGTAACACAAAACAAGCAATTCTAACAAACATTTGACATGCGGGAACAGTAGGTCAGCTTTTGTTACATCACTTATCCACAATGGCCTCCTATCAGTATTAAAAATTCTGGATAAGTTTGTGTACGCTAAAATGTTGACCATGCTTTGTTGCAACAATAAAACCTCTGACATTCAAGAGTTTTCTCTTTTTTTGAAATACATTTATATCACTTCTAGATTGTAGAATTCATCTGATAGCATCAAAGAGCCTATAGAACATTCACTGGGACAATCAAAGTACTAGACTTCCACGCTGGCAATCCAGAGCCACTTTTGTCTCCCACTCAGGATTCCTCGCTTAGAAGTAAGTTCAGTCTTCGGTAGGTTTGATAGTTATACAATAGGTTGTCGTGTTTTGCTAAATTAACCCCTTAAGGACCAAACTTCTGGAATAAAAGGGAATCATGACATGTCACACACGTCGTGTCCTTAAGGGGTTAAAAGTGGATGTCATATATCATGTACACACACTGTCAAGAATTCTTCAATTTGGCTATGCATGAATATTTATACACACGTCCAGAAGTGAAACAAAGTCATAACAATGCAAAAAAATCATGTCAATTTAAGAGGTTTTAATGATGCAGCACTTGAAGCAGATTTAGGATTATAACCCACATTTATATTTCGATTCCACGTGTACTTTTGAATTAGCTTGCTGTTGAAAAAGCCATAATTGGCATTCTGATCCTCTGTTTGCCGTGAACTAATTGTCAGGGGTCATAAAAACAGTCTGCCAGTGTTTTATCCCTTAACCGAGGTAATGATATTGTTCAAAATCTGGCCTTTTCGGGAAGTATTCGTCTAGGTAAAGAGTTAAGGCTGTTAAAACTAAATAAAATAAGAATACATCTGTCCCAGAGGCTGGTTGCTTGTTGACATTCCATTTCAATATAACTTATCACAAACACTGTTAAATCATAATGTTTATAGAAGAAATGTCCATGGTCCATACAATGCTTATTTTTCAATGCTTCGATTGAATCCAGTCTTTTTTCAATACACCACTGTGGTATCAGCACTGTAAATCACTGTATTCAAATCTGTTTCTACTTGACAAGACTGGTCTTTAGCAGTCTTATGGTCTTTACAAGGTGATGTCTGAGTGATGGATTGTATGATGTGTGTTGTTTTTTATTCTCCTTGGGACAACATTCCAAAACATCCTATTTCCATGGCCACATATCCCACGGAATACAATAAATAATTGGCTAAAGCTCTTTGTCATTTTGGGTCACTAGTGGAGTTAGCTGGCTTGACTGATAAGAAACTTTGCCGGGTGAATCCTCCTGTATGTAAATATTAGTCTCATTCCTGCTTATGCCACACATTGACCCTATCTATCTCCCACCCATGCCACATTTAATCTTTGTTACTTACTATAGTGATGGTGGATTGGACTGCTACACAGTGCCACGTAGAATAAAGAGTAACCTGTACGGCTATATCTTTAGGGTCACTTTAAAATAAGCATATTCCCAGGATATAAACAGTCAGATGTAGAGAGAAGTCTGCAATCTACCTTTTATTCAGAGGTGCTGAAAGGTATTTATTTTTAAAGCATTAATGAATAAGCAGAAAATGTGATCACCCTTTTGGGATATGAGTTCATCTCCTCTTATTAGAAAAAGCACTGAAAGCACATTATTAAATAAATCGCTACCAGGCATGGTTATATTCCGTGCACAATATAGTATGTGGTCAAATGCTAGCAAATAAAATATTGGGCATGATAAGTCAGCAAGGCTGCAGACAGCTACAGGATACCATATCCACTGTTAACATGTTGTGAATGATGCATCTATTAAAGGGGCATTGCATGTACTCACACCTGTTTGGTGCAATTTGTAGATTACATTACACTGAGATGTGCCGAATGATGTTTTTCTCTACGCTCTATGTTTTTTAATACTTTTACTTCATAATCGGAGCCTTTCTGTCCACCCTCGTCAAGCTGCAGTGTTTCACTTTTAACTCCAATACAGGTGCACATGATGTCAACATTTATGTTTCATTCATTAAAAAATAACAATGGTTCAACACCTGCCAAGTGTGTCCCTTTTAGAAGGTGCAGTTGTATCAATATGTATAATCCATCATAGCCTTTTTTTAAAAATACATCCATAAAATGTATCCGCAATGTACAAAGTACAAGTCATATAAGTGACATGTAGATATGAGGATGGATAGATAGATAGACAGACAGACAGCAGACATCTTGAAAAAGACCCTGTGTGGGTCGAAACGTTGATCGGGACAATACAGACGTGATTTGAAATAAAGAAAAAAGTTTGAGAAAAAGACCTGAGAGTGCACCTTCTCTCTATTGGATTATAATATCACGCAAAGGGAGCACAAAGGCAAGATTATCTAGTGATTACAAAGAGGTGAGTGCCAAGGCATATTCTTATATAGTATTCACATGTTTTTTCATGGCAGACCTTTGACATCAGTTATTCTATTCTGTTTTGATGGTCCTTCAGGCGGAGAAAATGTAAAAATAGTTAATCAATATATTGATCTTTTAAATCAACATCTACCTCTAGTAATGAAACTTAACTGGATTTTTTGTAACTTGGTAACATTGCTGTGTGATAACCCATTTCAAGCTGCTTTGTTAGCCATCTCCATCCAGCTTGCGTAAGTAGACCTGACACTTGCTCAATATGGGAAAGGCGACTCTCCGCAGCTTCCATCACTCTGCAATTACTGAATGGATGAAAGCAGCCAGAGTCAATTATGATACAATTAGGTTATAGTGACCTTTAAGAGCATCACATCTTCAAAGGGAAATAGAGAACCGTGGGTGGCCCAATCGTAATTGACTGTAGAGCGGACAAAGAAAAACCTTTAAGACTAAGTTGTGTGAGCACTGGAAAACTCTTAAAAGGGCTTCCTTCGTTTATTGCAAATAATAGTGCTGCGTCCCTGCAGTGACACTATTAATATTTAACAGTGTTAGCAAGTACTGAAAGCATGTTTGTTCCAGGCTGCAGGTGAAATCTCAGTGGGTATCAGGTGTCCAAGAGTGACATGATTAGCAGAAATATGGAAATAATGACAGATTTTTGTGTACACTTTAAAGTTTTGGTTTATGTGTCTCTACAAGGTCCACGTTAATAATGGGACGCTCAATTCACTTATTACATCTGTGGCCAGTGGTGAAACAAATTTAAATGGACCCCAGGTGATTCTTTTCTGTATCCATTTCTAAGGATATGCTGCAGCAGGGAGAACAATGGTGTTTCATTAACGCAGGGGCGGACGATAGTTAGACCCCCAGCTTTTGTAGAATTAAAACACCCAGGATGCTTGGCAGCCCTAGGGCTGGTACAGCGTAATGGGAGTTGTAGTTTTACAAGGATGAAATATAATCATGGTGGCTATAGATCTACAACAGCTAGTTTCTTTTTTTTGCCACCTGTGTTGGAATCAAATGTTTCAAATCACCTGCTACTTATACTAGATGTCTTTTCTCATACAATATGTTTAGAAAAAAAATATTTTGTAAGGATGTGTTAAAATATGCTGTGCTTCTTTTGTAGTGTGCAATGGAAAATCCATTTTAATTATAAATATTTTTTATGTTTAGTTAATATCTTTTTTCATTATACACTGAGCAGCCACAACATTAAAACCATCTGCCTAATATTGAGTAGGTCCCAAAACAGCTCTGATGTGTCGAAGCATGGAGTCCACAAGACCTCTGAACGTGTGCTGTAGAAGCAGATCCTTTAAGTTCTGCAAGTTGCAAGATGGGGTCTTCATGGATTTGTTATTCCAGCAAATCGGATCAAGATCAGGGGAATTTGGAGGCCAAGGCAACACCTAGACCTCTTTGTCATATTCCTAAGTGAAGCTACGATATGCTTGGAAGATCCTCAGTTTGTGTCAGACCACTCCAAAAAGATTCTACACAGAACCAGAGAGTGACCTACATAGCCTACTAGCACCATAACTACTGCAATATGATGTTTAATGCTGTGAAGACAGGCATGATGTTGATATTTATTGTGATAGAATGAGTGTCTAGTTTGATTCTTAAACGAACACTCTGGGCACCATAACAACTTCATCTCAATGAAATCGCTATAGTGTCTGAAGGTCCTGGGTACCGTGTTACCTTACAATGCCACCTCCTCATCCTATGTCTCTGGCCTCAATATGTATTATAAACCATTTTCCCAATGTAAGGTCAGTGGTAGGCTGAGAGTCAGCGATAGACTCAGGACTGGCACTGTTGAGAGCACTTTGGGTTTAAATCGCCATAATCCTCATAAACGGTTGAACATGCAAAGGCAAGATGGCACCAGGACCTCCAGACACCATAACCACTTAATTGAAATGAAGCCACTATCATTCCTGGAATGGTCCTTTAAGTCGACATGTGAATGGCAGTCACCCCAGTTAAAGAGACAGTATAATCATAACATCCCATTGAATTAGTTGTAGTGCCTGTAGTACCCTGGTACGGTGTCTCCATTCAGCGTTTAACCATTTTAAAGCAGCTTGATAATAAAGAGGCTTCCGGTTCTCTCACAGTCTGACCCACACTGAAGGTACACACTTCCTTAGTCTTAGCAATTTATACCAGCAGTGGGTGGCTGTGACTGTCAGTCCAATCACTATCGTCCATTACTTCCTTATTCGCTAAAGCAGCTCAGACGCTTAATACTGAATGAAAGGACGGCATCAGGAGACTCCAGACACTATAACCACTTCACTGAAATTAAACAGTTACAATGCCTACAGTGTCCCTTTAACAAACCTATTCTAATCAGAAATATTTCGTCAGAATAGGCTTGTTAAAGGGACACTATAGGCACTGTTTGTTTACTTATTGGTGATCTCATCATTACCCATGTGCGGTCACTAATGGTGCCAAATCCACCTGTTTTTCTGGACACATATTACTTACTCATATTAACGGGCCCGCATAAAACCTAATACTGCTGGTAGTAAATCAAGTCATTAATAACAAGAAATCCTGCAGCTTATGAATGACACAAACTACATGGCACACTTTTTATGTGCTGCCCATTAACATAAAAAGTGACTTGTGTCAATGACAGAATGGTCACGCTATTAACCCTAGTATCACCTTATATCGGTTTAGTTGTGGTTTTGTTCCAATGACTACTTGACTACTATTCCCTCATTTCAAGTAACGTTCCTTTACCTAACATTGGATTGAACAGAAGATTCTCTGCCCAATTACATCAGCAGAAAGGGTGGGTGCAATGTAGCTTATTCCAGTCTATGCATTTGAAGGTGGGGAAAGGCTAACCTTCCATGTAAAATGGAAATCAAACAGTAAACTACATTTCCATCCCAACACTTTGTTATTTACAGCACAGTTGCCTTTCTTCCCTTTATGTCGTTTCTAATCGCTAGTAGCAGCTGCTAACACTCTTTGCTCCAAGTTTTCCCTGTGGACTGCCTTAAGCCAGTTAGAGAAATACTTCTCTGTACACTTTCAAAGTCAGTACAGCAGATTTATCTCAGCGGGCTGCAAGAAATAATTATGCCAGCGTGGACTTATTTTTCATAGCGTCTCCTTTTACTGACTGAAGGTTAAACTGCGCTGTATTTTTTTTTTTTGTCTCTGAAAAGCCCAGTGTGGGAGCAGCAGATGTAAGGAATGATTCTCAAACGGCTGCATCCGACATAAAGACACAGTGCCCAGGCTTACATCGTTTATTTAAAGCAGGGGTGGGGAACCTTGGTCCCTCCAGATGTTTTGGACTACATCTCCCTTGATGCTTTGCCAGCATTATAGCTGTTAGAGCATTATGGGAGATGTAGTGCAAAACATCTGGAGGGCCAAAGGTTCCCCACACTTGATTTAAAGGGACAAGCCATTTCAGCTGGTTGTAGTGGTTATGGTGCTAGGATGATAAGGATTTCCAGAGCTCAATCCTTCTTCTAGGGATGTCATAAGAGAAATCTTCATTGTCAGTACAAAATATCTGTATAATGTACTGTACACTTACACCATGTAATGCGAGACAGTGAGCACTGGGATTTAGGAAACCTCAGCCATGCCAAGTCTCTATTAACTCTGTAGCGGAATCATTTTTCACCCTTTACTGTATTAACACTTCTCATCACTTACCCTTTGCACAGGGATGGAAGGACGTTCCCTGATCCCCATTTGGTGAAGTGTGTGATCTGCATCGCTGGCAGATAGAGACCAGTCTTGGCATTCCATATGATACTGAGTTCCTGTATAATTGAAGATTATATTAGCTTTAGTGTACTAATAATCTTAATTTTAGTAATGACAGGAGGATATTTGCATATCTTTCTTTACTGAAAACTCCAGCAGCATAGAAACATAACAACCAATCAGAAAAAAGTTATGATGCCCATAAAAGGCCCTGTCTATGACATCACTTCCTCTTTCTTTGAAGCGAAACAATAAATAACAACAAGAGACATAATCATATTACGTCAACAGTTCAACAACATATTAGAATATCCAACTCCATTAGTTCCGCGATGCAGAGGTATGGAAGGTGAATCTTTGTCTCGATGAGAAGACGTTCACGCTGCAAGAAAAAGAAAAAGGTGAAAGGTATCTGGCATGATAACTTATCCGCATACAATAAGCATTAAGCATCTGATATACCAACGAACATTAGAATGTGAAACATATCAATATATATTTATTCTAACGCAATGATATTTAAGAATCTATAAACACAACATAATGCAAGGTTCATGTCTAATATTCAGCCAATACAAGACCCACAAGATACAGGTCTAAGTAGCAAACATACAAACCATACGTACTTACCTTCCTGAACATAAAGGACATATTCTGTTCAACACGAGAAACATGGGAGGGATCCTATAGGGTGGGAAATATTCGCCTCCTGTCATTACTAAAATTAAGATTATTAGTACACTAAAGCTAATATAATCTTCAATTTTACCACATGACAGGAGGCTTCATATTTGCATTTTTAAAGCTTTGAA